GGCTCTGGCAATCATTCCGCCTCAGCATTCCAAGTAGCTGGAAGTACAGGCACGTGCTACCACACCCAGCTAATTTTTTTATTTTTATTTTTTATTGTAGAGATGAGGTCTCGCCAAATTGCCCAGGTGGGTCTCAAACCCACAGGCTCAGGCAATCCACTCACCTCAGCCTCCCAAGGCGCGGGATTACAGGCTGAGCCACCGAGCCCGGCTTTGTTTTCACTTACTATAAATGATCAATATTGGCAAATGGCTCATTTTTTTTAAAGAGTTGGAGTCTCACTCTGTTGCCCAGACTGGAGTGCAGTGGCACGCTCCTGGCCACCATAGCCTCAACCTGCTGGGCTCCAGCGATCCTTCCACCTCAGCCTTCCAAGTAGCTGGAACTACAGGCACATGCTACTATGCCTGGCTAATTTTTGATGTATTGTAGAGACGAGGTCTCACCAAGTTGCCCAGGCGGGTTTCAAACCTGTGGGTTCAGGAAATCCACTCGCCTCGGCCTCCCAAAGTGCTGGGATTACAGGCGGAGCCACCGGGCCTGACTGGCAACCAGTTTTTAAATCCATTTTTTGCAACCGAAAAACATAATCTGGTAGTTGACATAAATGCTAATTGGTATAAACTCCCTGGAGTGAAATTTGTTAATTAATGTCATGCCAGACACCCAGAGCGTCCAACAGGGATGGCACAGTGGCAAAGAGACCAAAAACAAAAATGCAGAGACAGCAGGTGAGACTTAAAGTTTATTGGAGACTTACAGGGTGTCCTAGGGTGGACACACTGGACAGGAAAAACCCAAAAATGCTTGTGGCAAGCATGCTGGTTATAGAGTGTTTTTCACATAGCAACCTCTAATTAGCAACAATCAGCTTCAAACAAAGGGCCTTGGTGCAACAGGCTGGGTATGGCTGGAGTCATGGATAGGCAAGGAGAATTTACCAAATAGTAATGAATTCAGAAAGTAGATTTATTAAAGGGAAGATACATTGGGAAGGTCACAATGGACCAAGATACTGTTTGCTGTTTGCAAAAAGGTAGGGGATAGAGGGATGCTTTTATAAGGGGTGTCAGGGCTTAGTGGGCTAGGAAGTGTCTTTGGGGTGAGTCTGCAAAAGAAAATTTCCAGAGTTTTATGAAGTAGTTGATTGATTGTGGTGTTTTGTTTCTTTAAGATGAGGCTAGTTAACAGCAATAGTTAACTAGCAACAAATGATTAACTACATCTTGTTTTCTGCAAATGTTTTACAGCTGGCAAACCAACCTTTACAGCGTTTACTGTTATCAATAACTTTCTTCATAACATTGGTAAAATCTCATCCTGAGATTTCCTCCCTCAGTTTACCTAGTTCCAGCTGGCCTCATTCAGCCTTATATTCCTCCACACCTTGCACATCCAGTGTTCCAAGAAACAGGACAGGGTCCAGATGTTCTTTACTGATATGCCATAAACATTGTGTCAGCCATTTCTAGAGTCCATACCTCAGAACACTGAACAAACACACACAAGGAACTTAGGGTCATTCTCAGGTATGCTTGAGTTATTACTGCCTGGCAAGACACGCCTACTATCCAGTTAAGCATGAAAGAAAAGGAAGAGAAGAGAGTATTGTAAGAAACAATGAGGAACCAGGGGAGGGACTTGTGATTTAGGGCATAAATGCACTGACTGTAACCACCTCGTGTGCCTGCTCACCTGAAAGGCACCTGTTCTTGCAAGAATGAGATTAAAAGAGCTATTTCACTCCCCTGAGCTCTGAGTCTCCATGTCGAGCTTTGATGACGAAACTGAGGAGGGTCAATTCCACCTCCCACAGTATGGAATGGGGTCCTAAAAACACCAATGTTGAGGGATGGGCAGATAAAACCCTGCAAAGGAGACTGGGGAGGAGTAAGCAGAAAGGTCGCAAGAAAAATAGGCATTTGTGGTGTCCAGGAAGCCAAATAATGAGATTATTAAAGGGAGGGAGAGATCCTCAGCCTTCACTGTTGTGGAGGTCAAGACAGATAAGGACAGAGAAGAGTCCTTCAGGTCAGCAACTTAGAGGTTGCAGGTGATCTGACTAGAGCAGGTTCTATGAATGGTGGAACACAGAAGCCTGGTGTCTTGTTTGAAGAGTGGGAGGTGAAAAACTAGAGGCTAAGCATGTTGACAACTCTTCTAAGCCACGTGGCTATGAAGGGAAGGAAAGAAAGAGTGGAAGAGGATTTGGGGTTGGAGCAAGGCAGAATTTTTCTCATGAGGAGGAATTTATAAGAGAGATAAGTTGAAGATGGAGAAGAAAGATTGTTTCCTAACCAGGGCCTGTTCCTGAGTGGAAGAGCCACATTTTTCTTTTCCTTTTTTTTTTTTTTTTTTTGAGACAGCATCTCATTCTGCAGCTCAGACTGGAATGCAGTGGCATAGTCACAGCTCACCACAGCCTTCAACTCCTGGGCTCTCCTTGATAGCTAGGACTATAGGAGCACAACACCATGTCCAACTAATTTTTTTTAGAGACGAGGCCTCACTATGTTGCCCAAGCTGATCTTGAGCTCCTGGGCTCATGTAATCCTCTCACCTTGGCCTTCAAAAGTGCTGGGATTACAGATGTGAGCCACATTTTATTTCTGATTCAGGGTCAAGACAAGATTAAGAGGAGGTCTAGGATGAGTTGGAGAGACAGTAGGTAGAAGGAAACATGCAATCTTGGGAAGCAAACTGCACTGGGAGGAGGCACAGCCCACTCAGTGTCCAGGCCCCAGGCCAGTTGCAGGCCTGAAACCCACCCACCTATTAGATGTGTCTCTGGGACATAGAAACCATCAGTGTTGTCTTGAGTGTAACCTCAACCGTTTTAACCACAGGTGCTATTTCCATTTTAGAGATCAGTACTCTTGTGTATATCTTCCACATCAGTGGTTCTCAAATTTAAACTTGCATCAGAATCGATCACCTGGATGGCTAGTTAACACTAATTACTGGTCCCCACCTACAGAGATTCTGACTCAGTTTGCATTTCTAACATGTTCTTGTGCTTCTTTTTGCCCCTTCCCTCCATCCCTCCATGCTTTGGGAACCACTGTCCTAGAAAAATCCGAATACCCCAGAAAGTTTCCGGAAGAGTAGTTAATGGGCTTTTGTAGTCTGCTCTGGAAACAAGACACTACTCGGCACGGCATCAGGTGCTTGGAAGATGACCAAGTGGCAGGTCCATAAGCACAGCCTATAGGAAGGGTTAGACACAGGTCAACATGAGCCACCTACAGGAGAAAGGTGAGAACCCTTCAGAGAGGATGATCAAGGTGTCTTGGAGAGCAGTCACTGGAGATTGAGCAGGATCCTACAAGAGGGAAATGGATCCAATTTAGGTATTCTTTTTCCTTCCTTCCTAACTTACTTCCTTACAAATTGAGACAGGGTCTCACTCTGCCTCCCAGTACGGAGTGCAGCAGTGCAGTCTTGGCTCACTGCAGCCTTAACTTCCTGTGCTCAAGTGATCCTCTCTCCTCAGCTTCTCGAGCAGCTGGGAATATTGGTGCATGCCATCAACCCTGGAAATTTTGCTTATTTTTTTGTAGAGACAGAGTGAGTCTGGCTATGTTGTCCAGGATGGTCTCAAACTCCTGGCCTCCAGCATTCCTCCCACCTCAACCTCTCAAAGTTCTGGGATTACAGGCGTGAGTCACGGTGGTAGCTAGGAAAATAATTCTTTGCGGGGGGGGGGGGGGGCGGTGGTTAGAGGGACAAGATTTTGCTCTGCTGCTTAGGCTGTAATGTGCAGCCTCGAGCTCCTGGGCTCAAGTGATCCTCAGTCCTCAGCCTCCTTTTTTTTTTCTTTCTTTCTTTCTTTTTTTTTGAGAGATGGCTGTCTTGCTATATTCCCCATACTGGGAGAAAAGTATTCTAACTGCAAGACCAGCGCCAGCGAAGCGCCTAACAGGCAGAAAAAGAAAAGAGCCGTGCAGCAGGTCGACGCTGGAGTGGCCATGAGTGTGCCACGGGACTCCAGCCTGGGCAACAGAGTGAGACTCCAACTCAAAAAAAAAAAAAAAAAAAGTGCCGCGTGCCTCACCGAAGGCGTCTGCACAAACGTAGCAAAGGTTTCCCCGTCGCTTCCGCGCCTGTGTCCTTCGGTTGATGAAGTAGGTTGTCAATTGCGGGTCGCCACACAGCCGCGCTCCTCCGCTGTAGCGCCGTCCGCCCCCGATAGGGTGCGCTATTCCTAGTGCGGGCCCGGCCCCCGGCCGGCTGTGTTGCGCCTGCGCGGGTTTGGGGTGGGGGAGGGGTTGTTGTTGTCGTCCCCCCCTTCTCCCCCATCCCTGGACTCGCCTGCGCGCTCTCGGACTAAGATGGCGGCGGCGGCGGCGGCCCGCCGGGGCTGGGGCGCTTTGGGTTCTGTCGCAGAGCTACGCAGGCGGTAGGTGACCGGCCTGGAGCTCGGAATAGGGGTGCTGCTGGGCGTAGCGGTCGCCGCCTCGCAGACCCTCTCTCAAGGGGGCAATGCATCGAATGGAGTCGTTGGGACAGACCCCGTCCCGCAGGTGGGGGTTTGTCCTGCAGGCATCTCGGCACCTCTAATTCGGACGGCCTGGTGGGGCCCATCTCAGGCTCAGAGACCCTGTGCTCGAGTCCCTGCGGTTGGGAGGCTGGTAGAGCCTGGCTGGAGAGGCAGGACGGAGGACTGGGTTTTAAGTCTTGGACCCCGCCACCCCCGCCTTTCGACCACACGGAGGGGAAGGAAATACCTTTTCTCATTTCCTCATTTTTCCAGTGAGGCGGAAAGAGGATGTGACATGTCCAGGGTCACACAGCTTCACAGTGATGGAACGCGGAGGAGACTCCAGACCCCTAGGTTCCTGCCACCTTCCTCCACGTCCCCCCTCCAAGCCCACTTCACTCCCTTCCCCCGCTTCCCTGAGCCCTGCCTTCGAGTGTCTCTCAGAGACGTCTGTGAACATTGGTAAGGGGACGTATGCAGGTGTGGGACTCTGACCTCGTGAGCATTCGACGTTTTAGTGTTAGTGGTGCTCTTGAGGTTTAAATGCATTTTCTAAAAATATTAAATTTGGAGAAGAATTTTTTTTTTAGTTAACTCCTGCCTCCCCCTCGTTTTTCAGAAGATGTTTTCCTTTAAAGATTTAACCCACTCTTGAAAAAACAACGTTGAAGCCTTCTCTGTCAGAATGTGTTTCCTATTCATTCTTTCTGCTGACTTTTCCCTGGGCTGAAGGGACAAAAACAGTGCACTCTCGGTGTATTTCCAAATTCCAGAGTATCCACAGATTTAGACAGTGAACTCTAGGTAAAGGTAGGTGTTTTCACCCCAAACTTTGAATTTCATCCATTCTGTAAGTGGTTATTGGGCATCAATAACATAATAATATAGCAGCTTCTATTTACTGAGCACCTACTGCATGGCCTGGGGCAAGAAGAGGAATGTGTACTGCTTGGCCTGGCAAGGATTATCTGGATCCAGTACTCTTGTGTATATCTTCCAGAGCAGTGTTTTTTTTTTTTCAGTGTTGATGAGGTGACTCCTAATATTAATCTCATTGTAGAGATGATGTACTGAGGTCACTAGGCCATCAGCTAGGAATGAAGACAGTCCCTTGATGAGTTTGCAGTCTCTAAGAAAGACAAACTAGCAAATAAGAACAAGGTCAGGAGTGCCATAATAGAGTCATATAATTATATAATTTAAAGTGGTGACAGACTTTACTGTGGTCAACTCTGGAGGTAGTGTGGAGAGTGGCAGTCAGGGCTTCACAGGTTCCTTATTTCTCATTCAGTGCCTTCATTGTTCTGAATCCTCAGTGCCAGGCCTTTAATCTCTCCCATAGCATCCTAGAAACTCTGTGGGTTACAGTCCCACAGTGTGCCTGTGAAGTAGTCTTTTGCTTAAAATAGTATTTGAAAATTACTGAAGATAAAGAAAATTTTAGTTAATCTGTATTCTTCTTAATTTGTGCTTACTCTTTGTAACAAACAGAATTCCAATTTTCTTTCTTTTTTTTTTGTGAGTAGAAGTCTCACTCTGTCACCCAGGCCGGAGTGCAGTGGCATGCCATGGCCACCGCAGCCTCAACCTGCTGGGCTCAGGGTGATCCTTCCACCTCAGCCTTCCAAGTAATTGGAACCACAGGTGCATGCCACCACGCCAGGCTACTTTTTTGGTGTATTGTAGAGACGAGGTCTCATCAAGTTGCCCAGGCTGGCCCCGAACCCCTGGGCTCAGGTGTTCCTCTTGCCTCAGCCTCCCAAAGTGCTGGGGTTACAGGCATGAGCCACCACACCTGGCCTGAATTCCAGTTTTCTAAGGAAAAAATGTGATACCGCCCCTTTTTGTCACTTCCTGCCTATTTTAGGTGAAAATAGAGCAATGCTTTAAAAAAAAGCTATATATCATGACAGTTGACTCCTGTGCTTAAAGTTATTTAATGGCTCCTGTAAAATGACAGCAATAATATTTTAAAGCAAGCTGGGCTTTAACTTACATTAAGGTTCTAAAGTTTTTCTTTTTTTTTTTTTCTGTCACTCAGGCGGGAGTATAGTGACAAACAGCCACTGCAGCCTCGACCTGCTGGGCTCAGGTGATCCTTCCGCTTCACCCTTCTAAATAGCTGGAACTATAGACGTTGCCAACCACACCTGGTTATTTTTTAAATCCTTATTGTAGAGACAAGGTCTCGCCATGTTGGCTGATTTCAAACCCGTGGGCTTAGGCAATCCTCTCTCCTTGGCCACTCCAAGGGCTGGGATTACAGGTGTGAGCCACGGTGCCTGGCAAATTTTTCATTTCTTAAGTCTCATTTTATTTTTTTTCCAGTAGTATTTGGTCTTCCATTCTCCCTGTGTTTTTAATTTGTTAAAGTCATGAAAAATAGCCAATTAAGATTTCTCTGTTAGAGTGAAATAAAGTTACAACCCTGGGTTAATATGTTTTCATTAAAAAAGTAGATAATAATACACGTTCTGTTAGACTTTTTGAAGTATTGAAACACTGTCAAAACAGGTAATATAGGTTATCTCTAGAGAGGGCAATGTAGGGGACAGGAAAGCAGGGAGATTTTCTACTGTATACACTTTTTTACCTTATCAGTTTTGGACCATGTGACTCTATTATCTAAGTGAAATTTTAAGAAGAAATAAAAGCTTACAGTTTTTTATTCTTCTTGGATAGCTAAGAGTATGGGGCTACAGGTTACAAATCACTAATGTAGGTACAATTCTGTTTCTTGCACCTGGATGTTACACTGTCATGTGTACATCCTTTATCAAGGCTAGGAATTTTTATTTGAACTCTACCTGATTTTTATCTGTCTATAGGTGATGCTTGCCTAAGTGAGGGGAAATAATGTAGATGGAAAATTAAAATGTGAGCTCTGTAGCTGTTTTTATTGTTGGTTATGTCTAAGTGTCACATGTCTTTTTTAATATATGAGAAGTAGAACCTGACTTTAAAATATTAGATCTCTTCACATGTCAATTCATTTTTTGTTTTTAAATGTAGATTCGGTCACATGTTGAAGAATCCATACACTATTAAGAAACAACCTCTGCATCAATTTGTACAAAGACCACTTTTCCTACTACCTGCAGCCTTATGTAACACAGGTAAAATTTCACCTCTTTTAGAGCAAACTGTGTTTTAGAAACTGATGGATGATGGCACATGCCTGTAGTTCCAGCTACTTGGAAGGCTGAGGCGGGAGGATCACCTGAGTCCAGTAGGTTGAGGCTGCGGTAGCCATGAGCATGAGCATGTCACTGCACTCCGGCCTGGGCAGAGTGAGGCATCAACTCAAAAAAGAAAAAAAGAAAAGAAACTAATGGAACTGTGCTAGGATATTGTGGATCATAAAAGATGAGAATTTGTAAATTTTCAACTGGAAGCCTATAAAAAGAATGCACAAAAAAAAAAAACAAACTTTTTTTTTTTTGGAGTCAGGGTCTCACTCTGTTCCCTAAGCTGGAGTGTGGTGGCACAGAGCCCACCACAGCTTTGCCCTCCTGGGCTCAGGTGATCCTTCTGCCTCAGCCTGCAGAGTAACCAGTACTACAGGCATGTGCCACCACACCTAGCAAGTTAAAAAAAATTTTTTTGTAGAGATTGGTCTCACTATGTTGCCTATGCTGGTTTTAAACTCCTATTCTCAACCAATCCTCCTGCCTCAGCCTCCCAACATGCTGGAATAATAGGAGTGTGCCACCACACTTGGCCAAAAAGTTATTATTTTATAGACTTCTAATTCTAAATAAGAAAATTTATTTTCAAGGACATTGTTGTCCAGTAGATCAATGAAATTTCAGTGTCTTGTATAACATGCCCACTGGAACACAAGAGTTTCATAGTAAATGATTTCTGAAATGAAAATATTATAAAAAGTTTAAAATGTTTTGTATTTCAAAGAGTCTTTTATATTTTAAGTTACTGCTTTCCTTATTTTGATAAGAAAACTCCTATATATTAGTAAATTTCTGACTTTCATTTAGACCTTAGAACATAGGATTTTGAATATAACTTCATTTTTTGTTAAAATTAATTACTATAATTTTGTTAATCTTATTGATGTTACATATTTTGATTTTCTTTAATATTGAAAATAGATATAAAGATGGGTTTTGAAAATAATTTGAAATGGAATTGTCTAATGTGGTTAGGGAACTTTGAGGGATATATATGTCTGCATGTGAGTATGTATGTAAATGTATGCCTTTGTGTTGTTTTGGAACTGTAAATGTTATGGATTCAGCCTACCATCTTTCCATTGTTACCTTCTCTCAAACTTCTGGCCTCAAGTTATTCTTCTGCATCAGTCTCCTAGGGCACTGGGATTACAGGCATGGCCACTGTACCCAGCCCTCTGTCATATCTTGAACGCCTCCCTGTGGCATTATTCTGGAAAGTGACTGACTGGCTAAGAACATGAGCTGAGTCAGAGTAGACCCTACATCTTCCATAGACTGGAACAAGAAGAGGAATACTTTCCCGGGCTTGCCTGAATCCTTGAATCACAGAATAGTTTAGATGTAAATATTGAGCAACTCAGCAGATCAAACCACTTTAACTGAACTTTTAAACTTTGTAGGACTGAATTATGTGATCATCTAGGTTTTTCAAATTGGAAACCCACTAATTTTAATCATTGATATTGACTTTAAGCACCACTAATCAATATGTATTGTGGGAAAGCCTATGCCTACCTACTTAGGTATTTAGTACTAAGCATAATAGGAAAAAATAGGCTGGGCTCGGTGGCTCAGTCTGTAATCCCAGCACTTTGGGAAGCCGAGGTGAGTGGATTGCCTGAGCCCGCTGGTTCGAGATCCGCCTGGGCAACTTGACGAGACCTCACCTCCACAATAAATCAAAAATTAGCAGGGCATGGTAGTGCACGCCTATAGTTCCAGCTACTTGGAAGGCTGAGGTGGAAGGATCACCGGAGCCCAGCAGGTCGAGGCTGCGGTGGCTGGGAGCAGCCACTGCACTCCAGTCTGGTTGACAGAGTGAGACTCCAACTAAAAAAAATAAAAATAGGAAAAAATATTTTTTATTAGTCTCTATCCTGTTGTAACTCTCATGATATTTTCAGGACCATCTTTCTGGATGATGGACCTGCGAGTCATTGTAATTAGCAAGGCACAGGCCAGGTTCAGTGGCTCAGTCTATAATCCCAGGACTCTGGGAGGCCAAGATGAGTGGATTGCCTGAGCTCGCGGGTTTGAGACCAGCCTGGGCAACATGGTGAGACCTCATCTCTATAATGAATTTAATAAATTAGCCGGGTGTGGTAGCATGCGCCTGTAGTTCCGGGTAACTGAAAGACTGAGGTGGAAGGATCACCGGAGACCAGCAGGTTGACACTGGGATGGCCATGAGCTTTCGTACCACTGCACCCCAGCCTGGGCGAAGGAGAGTGGGATTCCAACTCAAAAAAAAATTAGTGAGGCACAGTGACTCACACCTGCAGTCCCAGCACTTTGGGAGGCTGACATGAGAAGATCGCTTGAGCCAGAAGTTCTAGACCAGACTAGGCAACATAGCAAGATCCATCTCTATAAAAAAATTTTTAAAAATTAGCCTGACATGGTGGCATGCGCCTATAGTCCCAGCTACTCAGGAGGCCGAAGTAGAAGAATCTCCGGAGCCCAGGAGGTTGAGGCTATGGCATGCAGTGATCGTGCTGCCACGCTGAAGTCTAGGTGGCAGAGTGAGATCCCAACTCAAAATAAAAAAGGGAAAAAAATACCTAGTTAAACCCAACTTAGACTGTAATTGGAATGATTTTGTTAAGTACCTATTCAAATTAGTCTTTTTAAATGGCTTTGTTTATTATCAAAAGAGGAAAGTTGTGTGGTGATACCATATATTTTCACATTTTTACTTTTGACAGTACATATAGATGTATTTTGAAATACTATTTTTATATTTATAACTTTTACCTTCGAGAATTTCTAAAAAATTTTTACTAGTTGAGTAGTCTTACTCAACTTAATTGGGTAGGACAAAGCCAGATTTAATTCTTCAAATATTGATACAGTGCCTGTGTACAGATTTTTTTTTTTTATTACCAATAAATTTTTAAGAAAGGCTGTAAGAAGAAATTGTTGGTTCGGAACTAGGGCTGGAAGAGCCTTCCACTCTTTTGTATACTGAAAGTGGTGGCAATCCTTTCTTTAATGTTTCATTTGAAAAATTGTTCCCTTATAATACAGATTTTCAGAGGAATGTCTTGCTGGAGATACAAATACTTGAATGAAGTACTTGGACATTTATTTTTTATTTTTCTCTTTTTAAGGATTTGCCTGGTCACCAACAGACGTCTAATTAGGACAGTGACTTAAGCAAAATATATTAGAGTTTAGTTCCAATTTCAGCTTTATCCAGGGAATGGTGTAACAACAGCTAGTTGGAACTGCATGGCAAGGTGCCAGAATGACTCTGTCAAATTGGGCCTTTCTCCTTAATAGTTTCAAAAAATCACTTTCATTTAACCATAATGTTTTACCAAATTTAATCTTTCACATTTAAAATAAAACTGTTACTTTTTTTGGGGGGGAGAGGGGAAGCAGGATTTATCGTGAGGACAGAAAATCTCCCACAGTGGGAGGGAACATGAGGAAGCAGTCCAACTGTTGCTTTTTGATATTTTATTGTCTCCTAAAATATGTGATATGAAGATTATGACAGAACAGGAAGACTGATCTTAAATGTATTTTCCCATTACGCTTGGCAGTATTAGATGAGGATCAGCAGGCAGTTTGTACAGTGGCTAAGAGAGTCAGCCCTCAAAAATTACCCAGCCATGAATCCTGATTCTATCACTTACTAGCTGGGGAATTTTTAATTTCCTTATCATATAATAAGATTAAAAACAGTGCTTCAGCCGGGCTGGGTGGCTCAGTCTGTAATCCCAGCACTTTGGGAGGCTGAGGTGAGTGGATTGCCTGAGCCGGCGGGTTCGAGACCTGCCTGGGCAACTTGGTGAGACCTCGTCTCTATAATAAAATAAAAAATTAGCTGGGCGTGGTAGTGCACGCCTGTAGTTCCAGCTACTTGGAAGGCTGAGGCAGAAGGATCGCCGGAGCCCAGCAAATCGAGGCTACAGTGGCCGGGAGCAGCCACTGCACTCCAGTCTGGGTGACAGAGTGAGACTCCAACTCAAAAAAAAAAAAAAAAAAAAAGTGCTTCATTGGGAGGATGTAAGGATTAAATGATATGATACATGTAAAGTGCTTAGCACCATGCCCAGTGCATGATAGGGTACTCAGTAAAATTTAGCTATTTTTATATACTGTTGCTAACCTATTTAAATATACTGCTTAAAGATGGAAGATTTCTTTTTTTTAGAAAGCAGGATTTATTTAGAGGACAGAAAAGCTCTCACACTGGGAGGGGACCCAAGGGTGTTGCCCGAAAGAGTTCTTTTTACTCAGGATTTATTTTCATAACAAATAATCAGTTTGTATAATAGTTTTACTTATTTATTTTAGAGATGAGGGCTTTCTCTGTCACCCAGGTTGGAGTATAGTGGTGTGATCATAGCTTACCGTAGCCCCAACCTTTGGGCTCAAGTGTTCCTCCATTCCCAACCTTCTGAGTAGCTGGGACTATAGACTTGTGCCACCATGCCCAGCAAATATTTTCATTTTTTGTAGAGACAGCATCTTGCTCTTACCCAGGCTGGTCCCGAGCTCTTGGGCTCAGACAGTCCTCCCGCCTTGGCCTCCCAAAATGCTGGAATTATGGGCATGAGCCACCACACCCAGTCAGTAGGTTTAAAACAATTAAAACCCCAATGCTGGCCAGGCGTGGTGGCTCAAGCCTATAATCCCAGCACTTTGGGAGGCTGAGGTGTGGGACTTACCAGAGCCCACAGGTTCGAGAACAGCCTGGGCAACTTGGCAAGACCTCATCTCTACCATAAATCAAAAAATTAGCCAGGCATGGTAGTGCGCTCTTGTAGTTCCAGCTACTTGAAAGACTGAGGCAGAAGGATCATCTGAGCCCAGCAGATTGATGCTGGGGTGGCCGTGAGCATGCCAATGCACTCTAGCCTGGGCAACGGAGACTCTAACTCAAAAAATAAATAAATAAATAAAACCCCAATGCTGTCCTTTTGTCTTACAGGTTGTTGTTATAATAGTGAGTTAGGAAATTAAAGATTATTTTCTCTCTTTATCATTTTAACAAATTTATTCTCAATCTACTCATAGTCCTAGAAAAAATAAGAAAAGAACCTGTGAGGATGTCTTTTAAATATCCCAAAAAGCAATTTGCATAGATTCCTGCTTATGTGATATTTTATAATGTTACTTACTATACCGCTGGGCAAGTTGTTTAATATTTCTAAGCTTCAATTTCTTCATTTGTAAAATAGGAATAATAGTTTCTTCTTTATAGGGTTGTTAAAGGCATAAATACGTTAAAGCCCTTGACCTGTATCTGGCATGTAATCAGCAATCAATAAGTATTTGTTTTTACATTTATAAACTGCTAACTTTATTTAAAGTCTTTAAAATAGTGGTGGCACTTGAGAAAGAAGAGAATGTAATATTTTATTGTATTAATATTATAGTGATGAGCCGGGCTTGGTGGCTCAGCCTGTAATCCCAGCACTTTGGGAGGCTGAGGTGAGTGGATTGCCTGAGCCCGCGGGTTCGAGACCCGCCTGGGCAGCGAGACCTCATCTCTATAATAAATCAAAAAAAAAAAATCAGCCAGGCGTGGTAGCGCATGCCTGTAATTTCGGCTACTCGGAAGGTTGAGGCGGAAGGATTGCCGGAGCCCAGCAGGTCGAGGCTGCGGTGGCCGGGAGCGGCCACTGCACTCCAGTCTGGGCGACAGAGTGAGACTCCAACTCAAAAAAAAAAAATATTATAGTGATAAATGATCTATGATTATGATAATGGTAGCCATCAGTACCAAGTCACCAAATAGATTATAAGATTTCTGAATTATGACTATATATAAGACTTAAGTGTAAGATATTTCTGTAATTTTTTGAGTAACAACTATCTAAATAATTATTAGAGTATTAACATAAAATTCTATATAGTTATTCCAAACTTGCTAATTTCCTTCTTTCTCATCTTTATAAATTCTTACTATGTTGGCTTGGACAATAAACCCTTGGTTTTTTTTCCCCCAATTTGTTTTTACTTCTTCTGGTTCTCTGAAAATTAACATTTTATAATCCATAAACCTGTTAACTATTTTTTCTAGGGTAATATTCTTTCTTTTTTTTTTTGGTAGTGAGACACATGTTTATTCAAACACAAGATACTCCAAATCCCAACAGTTTAAAGTTTATACCAGGAAAACCAGTTCTTGAGACAAGGACCATGGATTTTCCCACCCCAGCTGCAGCATTTCGCTCCCCTCTGGCAAGGTATACTACTGTTTTAATTTGCTTTTACCAAGAAACATAAATAACGGGCTTTTGCATTAAGACAACCTTATTTAACTGTAGCATTTGTGTGTGTACTGTTTTTTTGTTTTTTTTTTTTTTTTAGTGTAGAGAATAATTTGTTTTCTTTTCAGGTAAGAGATAAAGAAAAATAGGAGTTGATATTAGGAAATGTTTCTACTGAAGAGAGATGTATTTGAGAGGTCTGTGTCATGAATAAGTAAAAATTTGCATTTCTCCTTAAGGAAAAAAATGATCAAATTGATAATCATGGTAAGTTTCCATTCCAAATCTTTAAAAATCTGATTTTTTTTTTTTTGAGTTGGGGTCTCCATCGCCCAGGCTGGAGTGTGGTGGCACGATCACGGCCACCCGAGCATTGACCTGCTGGGCTCTGGCTATCTTTCTGCCTCAGCCTTCCAAGTAGCTGGAACTACAGGTGCGAGCTACCACGCCCAGCTAATTTTTTATTTATTGTAGAAACGAGGTCTTGCCAAGTTGCCCTGGCTGGTCTTGAACCCATGGGCTCGGGCAGTCCACTCACCTCCACCTCCCAAAGTGCTGGGATTACAGGCTGAGCGCCGAGCCCAGCTGGAATTGTTTTTTAAATTTCTACTTAATACTTTATTTATTTTTACTTAAACATATCACTTCTCAGAATACACCTGAGAGCACACTTTTTTTTTACATAAGCCACAGTAAAAATGTTTTAACATTATGACCCAGTACACACTTACGTATGTGTGAGAAACAAATGTTTAATGGGATAATTTTCACCCTTTTCACCCTTACAGTGGGTAATGGATTCTTTAATTTCCTCTCTTTACTTATTTTTGTTATTCTTTTCTAGTTTTATTTTATTAAATAAAATTCTGGTCACTACATAATTGATTTCACAACTTACTAGTGGGTTTGAAAGACCCTACCTTAGAGTACACCCACACATGTAAACAAGGTGTGCACAAGGATGTTCATTATAGTTTTGTTAGTAATGGTAATAAGTTGGAAATAACCTTGAATATTCATCAGTAGGAAAAGATAGATAAGCTTTGTCCATCCATAGTCTACAGATTTTCAAATTACAACTCAAGCCTGTAATCCTGGCACTTTGGGAGGCCAAGGGTGAGGGGATTGCCTGAGCCCACAGGTTCAAGAACAGCCTGGGCAACTTGGTGAGACCTCGTCTCTACAATCAATCAAAAAGTTAGCTGGGCGTGGTAGTGCGCTCCTGTAGTTCCAGCTACCTGCAAGGATAAGTCAGAAGGATCACCTGAGCCCAGCAGGTTGACAGTGGGGTGGCTATGAGTGTGCTACTGCACTACAGCCTGAGCAATGAAGTGAGACTTCAACTCAAGAAAAAGGATGAGGGACTGGGTGCGATGGCTCACATCTATAATACCAGCACTATGGGAGGCCAAGGCATAATCCCAACACTATGGGAGGCTGAAGTGGAAGGATTGCTTGAGCTCAGTTCTAGACCAGCCTGGACAACAAGATGAGACCCCTGTCTCTTTTTTTTTGAGTTGGAGTCTCACTCTGTCGCCCAGACTGGAGTGCAGTGGCCACTCCCGGCCACCGCAGCCTCGACCTGCTGGGCTCCAGCGATCCTTCCGCCTCAGCCTTCTGAGTAGCCGGAATTACAGGCGTGCGCTACCACGCCCGGCTAATTTTTTGATTTATTGTAGAGATGAGGTCTCGCTTGCCCAGGCAGGTCTCGAACCCGTGGACTCAGGCAATCCACTCACCTCAGCCTCCCAAAGGCGTGGGATTACAGGCTGAGCCACCGGGCACGGCTCCCCGTCTCTTAAAAATAAATAAATAAGGAAAGAAAGAAAGAATGAGAAAGACCCATATTGCTGTCACAGAAAGACATCAAAGATATACCATTAAGTGAAGAAGGCAACTTGCAGAACAATGAGTACAATATGATTTTATGTATTAAAAAACAAAAATCGCAAAACAAGAAATGTTCTTACAAAAGGATCTGGAAGAATGGGCACCAGACTGATAACAGAGGATTTGGGAGAAGTGGTCAAGGGGCATTTAAACTTTATATGTATACCTTGAAATGTTTTACATCAAGTATAGTTCACATATTTTATATTTTAAAAATGTAAATTTTAAAATGCCCTACTTAATTCAGTTATAGATTAGTTGGAGATTATTTCTGACAGATGTTCAGATGGTGAAAGACCTTTTCTAGTTAGTCTTTTGAAAGCAGCCCGTTTCCTAGATTCACAGAATCTGTTTTCTTTGTTTTAGTAGGGAATGTTTTTGGTATAAGCCAAAACGTAAGCTTCCTGAGAACAGAGCCCAGTCTGTCTTGCTCATCGTTGTATCCCTAGTGCTTTGTACATTGCCTAGTACCAGAGGGTGTCACATGTTTGTTGAATGAATGAGTTAACTGGTTGTGTGGGTATCCACACACTGTTTATTTATTCACCAGTTGATGAGCATTTCTCGATTTTTTGTGTATGTGACTACAATAAATAAAACTGCTATAAAGATTCACTTACAAGTCTTTGTGGTGCATATGTTTTCATTTTTCTTGGATAAGTACCTAGAAGTGGGATTGCTGGATTATAGGGTAAGAAGATGAAACAAAATTGACTGTGAGTTGATAACGGGGATGGGGATGGGGAGAATCTTTTACTTTTTCTTTCTGCTTTTGTGTATGTTTAAATTTTTCCATGGCAAAACATTTTAGCATCTTTTAATTGTTATTTATTTGCAGGCAATTATTTAGAATTGAAGGAGTAAAAAGTGTCTTCTTTGGACCAGATTTTATTACTGTCACAAAGGTAACAGGATTCTATTAATATAAAGTAATACTTGACCATTGCTTTGCTAAGCCATGGCCTAACCATGTGGCTCCCTGAGCCACGGTTGCCATGTTTCCTAGCCTTGGTCCCATCCCCTACCTTGGGGAGGTGAATCTCCTTTCTCTCTAGTTTACTTTTTTTTTTTTTAGATTAGAAAATATAGTTTATGGCCAGGCTCGGTGGCTTAGCCTATAATCCCATGCTTTGGGAGGCTGAGGTGAGTGGATTGCCTGTACCCAAGGGTTCAAGACCCACCTGGGCAACTTGGCGAGACCTCATCTCTACAATAAATCAAAAAATTAGTCGGGCGTGGTAGCCCGTGCTTGTAGTTCCAGCTACTTGGAAGACTGAGGCGGAAGGATCGCCGAAGCCCAGCAGGTCGAGGATGCAATGGCCGGGGGCAGCCACTGCACTCCAGTCTGGGCAACAGAGTGAGACTCCAACTCAAAAAAATAAAAAAGAAAATATAGTTTATTTAGAAAGTAAATTAGGGAGAGAGAAAGAAAGAGGAGATTCACCTCCTCAAGATAGGGAAGGGGACCAAAGCTAGGAAGCATGGTGATAGCCATAGCTAGCTCAAAAAACACATGCCACACACACCAGAGTCTAGTAAGGCAATGGCAGTGGTAGTTTGGCAATGGCCTCTGTAGTTTACTTTTAAAATAATCTATATTTTCCGGTCTTTAAAAAAAAAAAAAGGAAAACTCGAAGTACTTTTAGTTTTTTTCTGAATCCAATGTTCCAGAATTTTCATTCTTAATCTATTTTATATACAGTTACTAAAAATTTCAAATGAAGTTTACTTCTCAGCATTTATCAAGCTAATACAATTTTCAAGTTATAATTAATTTGAGGGGGCTGAACTATACTTTTACTCTAAAATTATAGCAAATTAAACCTTGGCAGGACAAGAATTTAGGCTTCCAGGTACTATTTTTATTCTTTCTCTAAATTGATAGAGTAAAAATAGAAGCAAATACATAAATATTATATAGAAACATATTACATACATATATGTCATGCCGTGATATAAGTGCCAATTTTGAAAGGAGAAACGTATGCATTCATTCTGTTGAGATGTTGTGTAATAAACTACATGTATGTATGTATATATACAGATTCCACAATCCTGCAATAATACTTCAGAGCTTTACAGATAAGAGCAGTGGACTGTGTAATTCTGCCGCACTTGGTTACCCTCTAAATGTCACAAAATCAAGCTAAATATGCTACCCCCTCCAATAGTTGCGACAGCATCTGCTAGAAAAACCTGTTTCTTTCTTTTTTCTTGTTTTGTACAACAGAAATTTATTATTATTTGTATGTGTGTGCGTGTGCGTGTGTGTGTGTGTGTGTGTTAAGATGCGGGGTACAGTTCAGAGTTAGGTATACAAATGTTCATTATGCAGGTACCCTTGTTGCTGAGGTGTGCCCCCCACCAGCAGTTTCCCTCAACTCCCAATTCTACCTCCCCTCCCCTGGCAGTTTCCCACTACTGCCAATCCCTTTCTTATAGTGTTATGATAATTGTTCAACGTCCACTTATGAATGAGAACATATGGTACTCTCTTCTTTCGGTGATAGATCACTGAGTATGATAGACTTTAAATCCATCCAAGTTGCTGCGAAGTCCAGATGTTTATCTTTTGTAAGCCTGTTTCTTTTTTTTTTGAGTTGGAGTCTCACTCTGTCTTCCAGACTGGAGTGCAGTGGCACTCTCCTGGCCACTGCAGCCTCGACCTGCTGGGCTCAGGCGATCCTTCCTCCTCAGCCTTCCAAGTAGCCGGAACTACAGGTGTATGCTACCATGCCCAGCTAATTTTTTTTTTTTTTGTGGAGATGAGATCTCACCAAGTTGCGGGTCTCAAACCCACAGGCTCAAGCAATCCACTCGCCTCAGCTTCCCAAAGTGCTGGGATTACAGGCTGAGCCACTGAGCCCAGCCCCTGTTTCATTTTTTAAGTCCACTAGATTAATGTGAAGTGAGCTGTTTAAATTTGGCCTATATATCCTTTTAAATCTGTGAATTGATGTATATCCACAAAATGTAATCACTTGTCTAATATTGTGCAAAAATCAAAAGCATTCATTTAATTCCTCTTAAGTAATTTGAAAGGATCTACTGGCTTAGTAACATTAAATCTAATCCAGTATTCTGTAACTACTTGTATTTTGAAGAGAAATATGATTTTCCTACTTAGTGGCAGTCTAGTGGCTATGGGTAGTCTTACAAATATCCTAATTATAAAATGTTTTTACCTGTAATTTAAAGTGTTAATTGACCTAAATTCTTAGAAAGTCCTTTCCTGACCATGTGAAAGTGACCCTGTCTCCAGGAATTCATTACTCTGTTTTATGTTCTTCGTTTCTTATATTTCTTAATCATATTTCTTAATTTTTATTGCCTGTCTTTCCTGCTCTAGAATGTAAACTTCATAAAGGTAAAGATCGCCCATTTTGTTAAGTTCACTTAGAACAATGCCTCAAAGACTCAAAGATAGTAGGACTCAAAGAGAGTTTTATTGAAGGAAACAATTATGTAAGATTTCATGTGGTTTCCCCTTAATATAGGGTTGTGGTGAGCAAATCTGTGTTAACTAATTCCTAGTTTTTACCAGTTTATAGACTTCTGACCTGTTTGTTATTTTTCAGTTTTCTTTCTTTCTTTCTTTCTTTTTAAAATTTTTGAATTGGAGTCTCACTCTGTTGCCCAGGCTGGAGTACAATGGCATGCTCCTGGCCACTGCAGTGTCGATCTGCTGGGCTCAGGCGATCTTTCCGCCTCAGCCTTCGAAGTAACCGGAACTACAGGTGCATGCTACCAAGCCTGGCTAATTTTTCTTTTTTTTTAAATTTATGATAGACAAGGTCTCACCATGTTGCCCAGGCTGATCTCAAACATGCAGGCTCAGGCAATCCTCTCACCTCGACCTCCCAAAGTGCTGGGATTATACGCTTGAGCCACCACGCCTGGCCTCTGTCATATTTTTTAAAGAGACAAGCTTTTATTTAATGTTAAACATCAGATAAAGCACTAGCACTTTGTATTATCTATTTCGATTCTTACAACTAGGTATTCTTGTCTTTTAAGTGGGAAATTATATATATATATTTTTAAAGTTGTTATTTAGTTTTTTTCTATACTATGTAAAATTTTTTATAAATGAAAACGTGATTACATCCTATATAGTAGGGTTTTTTTATTTTGGTAAGCTTTTTTTTTTTGGTAAGTCATTTTTTAATCTCCCTTCAATATTTTTATTTTTTTAATTTTTTTATGTTAAGAGTCAGGTATCTCGGTGATCCCACCAAGGAGTTTAGAAATATGTGTATGTGTAGGTGTTTAGTTGTTTTGTCTTGCATGAGAATTCTTGAGATAAATTATCCAAATTATTTTCAAAAACTCTGATACATGAAGGTAGATTTACAGTTCTAGCAATGATTGAACTTGAACCATACTTTACATACGTTACCTAGTAAGTTCCAGTCAGGTTCTCTCCACAGATGAGCAAATCTGCTCTTTCATAGTGAGAGAAACAGAGAAAATTCTACTATTAGAATTTTGAGATTCTAATGGAAAAATGGATAAATCAGTGCATGCACACATGCTTAAAATGAGCCATACAATGTGTCAGAGGGTCAAAGATACCCCCTTTTAAAACTACAACTATGAAGTGAGATGAAATGATGAGATGAGATGAGATGAAATGATGAAATAAATTAAGATGAGATGATGAGATAAAATGATATGATGAAATGATAAAATGAAATGATGAAATGAGATGAGATGATGAGATGAAATGAAATGATGAAACAAAAGGAAATGAAATGATGAAATGAGATGAAATGATGAAATGAGATGAGATGAGATGATGAAATGAGATAAAATGATGAAATGAAATGAAATAAAATGAAATGATGAAATGAGATGAAATGATGAGTAGAGATGAGACGAGATGAGATGAAATGATGAAATGAAATGAAATGGAATGGAATGATGAAATGAGATGAAATGTTGAAATGAGATGAAATGATGAGATGAGATGAAATGAAATGAGATGAGATGATGAGATGAGATAAAATGAAATGAAATGAGATGAGATGAAATGTTGAAATGAGATGAAATGATGAAATGAGATGAGATGAAATGATGAGATGAAATGATGAAATGAGATGAAATGAAATGATGAAATAAAATGATGAAATGAGATGAGATAAAATGAAATGAAATGATGAAATTATGAAATGAAGAAAAGAAATGAAATGAGATGAAATGATGAGATGAGATGAGATGATTGTAAGGTAAACAAAACCACACCAGGTGAAACGGCAACAAAGGAGCCAAGAAAAATTTATTAGCACAATCCCAGGCGAGGTTCACCAGTCCTATAGCTGTGGGCCGGAGAAGTTGTGCCCAGCAAGATGGGCGACGGGTTTATAAAGGGCACGTTGAGAAAGCTGTGAGGGGGATTGGGGAGAGCAATCATTGGTTGGGACAGCTGTCGCGTCTGCTGGTGATTGGCTGAACAGGGTTGCTAGAATCGCTGTAACAGGTACTGGCTGGCTTTGCGGCTGGGATCTTAGTTCCGGCCTGGTCCGGGTTGGAGCCATCTTGTTGAGGCGAGGCCTGCCCCGCCCTCCAGTACCTCCAACCTTACATTCCAGCCTTTTGGTCATAGGGGTGCCAGCTCGTTCTAGCTACTTCCTGCTGGGGAGGGGCGGCGTGGAGGGGGGTCTTAAGGCTGGTATGGGGCCGGAGGTGGTTCGAACGGAAGGGGCAAGTATGAATGTAACAGTAGTTGGTTGACCGTTATTCGAGAGAGCTCTGCCAGGCGCTGTTGGAGAAACCTAAAAACACATGGGGCCATCAACAAGAGGAGAAAAACAACAATCAGTGGAGTGAGAATGGGGAGAAGCCACGTTAGAAGCCAGGGTTGCCACCACCCTGAGAATGGGCCTCTGGTCAGGTCTCTCCGTTT